CCATGCTTGTATGTTACCGATTAAGCGGTATGTCCATCTCCCCTTGCTCGATGAATCCCAGCGCGTTTGCCATTCGTTTAAGCTGGCTCGTCTTTCTACTCTACGCTCTGCCACCGTTAGTTTTCGGCCTGCGCTTCTACTTTTATCATATATTCGCTTAAGTTCGAGAGCCATTATGTCTGGAGGCATAATTCGTGCTAGAACCCCGACAGCTTCATTAGACACCGTGCGAAATCCACTGACTATTCTGGTGGCGCTCAGCCTGAATACCGATTGTGCCACTCTAGCATATGTCTTATTTATTAATGCTGGTCCCCATACAGGCGCCGCATACATTACAATTGACTGGCTTACTTTGGCAAGAAGAGCTCTCCTGCTCTGTTGCGGCCCTCCTATGTTTGCCATTATTCTTGATAAGGCCATGTTTACACGCGCCGCTTTTTCACACGCTTTTCCAACATGCATTTTGAAGTTGAGCCTCGCATCAATTATTACACCAAGGTATTTCACAGCGGGTTGTGTTGTAATGTTGTTCCCGTCTATGTTAAGCGAAATGGTTTCCAGTTTTTTCCTGCTAGTTATAAGCACTGCTTCCGTTTTGTGTCCGGCAAGTTCGAGTTTTGCACTCGTTAGCCACTGCTTTATCTTCAGCACCGCATCGGTACAAATACTTTGTATTTGTTGGAGCTCCTTTGCTACTATTGTCACAGCAATATCATCTGGGGATCCAATTATTTGTACTTCTTTCGGCAGAGGGAGGCGCAATATTCCATCATAAAGCGTATTCCAAAGGAGTGGGCCTAACACAGATCCTTGTGGCACACCACCCGTTACCCTATACTTTTTTGGTCCTTCGTCCGTGTCGTAGAGCAGGATTCTATCGGCTAAATAGCTTTGGATGATGCGCAGCAGATAGCTCGGTGTTTTTTTGAGCACTAATGCACGCATTATATGGGGCCAATGGGCCGAGTTAAATGCGTTTCTCACATCAAAAGTGGCGACCGCACAATATTCTTTTTCCCCATACATCCACCTGTCTCCTTCAATAGCCTTTTCTGCCATACCAGTGACTTTCTTGATCGCATCAAGAGTTGAACGCTTTCTACGAAAGCCATATTGGGTATCAGCGAGTCCACCATTTCCTTCTAAATGATTTTCTAGACAGGCACAGATTATCCGCTCCAGGATTTTGCCCATCGTATCGATCATACAGAGCGGTCGATAGGAGCTTGGTTCTCCTGCCGGCTTGTATGGCTTCTGTAGGAGTACCAGCCGTTGTACTTTCCAAATTATTGGAAACACGCCTTCGCGAAGGCAACGTGTGTACAAATCTGAAAATGGGTGCGGATGATAGCTGATCGCAATTTTAAGAGCCTTGTTCGGGATACCATTTAATCCTGGTGCTTTGCTATTTTCAAAGCGCTCAGCAGCTTGAATAACTTCCTGCTCGGTGATTTCTGGAGCATCAACAACTTCCTCGCTCTAAAAATTTCCTTCTGTTTGGTTTTGTTGAGGGAACAGGGTTTCTACAACATCTTTGAGTAATGACGGGCATGTAGGCGCTTGACATTTGCCACCTTTAATTCTTGACATTACGATCCTATAAGCTGCTCCCCACGGATTTTCGTCCACCTTTTCGCATAATTCTTTGAGGCATGTCATTTTGCTCTTTTTAATTGCCTTTTTTAGTTTTTTAGGTCGTTGCGTTTCTTTTTGAATGCTTCTCGCAGGCTGTCACAATCTAAGCTGCCTATTCACATGTGTATCGTGTATGGCGTTGTGTGCGCACAAAATCTCATTTCTCTCTTGTCGCCGAACAGTGAAAATCGCGGACGAACGTTGCAAGTGCTAAGAGGGAGCCTGCTTTAGAGGCTTCAAAAAATCTATTGTTTTGAGGATTTTTTTGGGAGGGTAGCCCGATGTATCTCGCATGTGCATTTTTCGTTTTTCATATTTTTTAATATCTTCTAGTTAAACTAAGAAAATTCCAAAAAGAGTGTAAAATTTGAAAAAAAAAATTAAAAAAAGTGGTTTTTGTCCAAAAGAAGTTTTACTTAATGTTGTTTAAAAATGTGTTCAAACTTTATTTTCCTTAGTTTATTTATTATAGTTTAAATAGAAGATACTTTAATGTCAAAGATAATAAACTTTGCCCCATATTCCATACGACGTTTAGTCGCCAATTAAGGAAAATCGTAAAAGTGAAATTCCGAACGCTGCAAAGTTTTCGCTATTCGCCCAAGCGCTCATATATCTGTTAGACGCTCGGCCACTATTTCCCTTCTAGCTTCTACAATATTTCGAATTCCAATCTATAACTTTGGGGAGAGAATTAAGCAAAAGCAGGCTCCCCCTTTAATAAATATTTTGTATCAGAATTTATTGATCTTATAAAAAATTAATTGGCAATTTGGCAAACGAAAAGTGATAAATATAAAAATAAAATTCAGAAAAATAAAAGTTGGAATAACTTATTAACGAAATACAAAGAAATAGATAAAAGTGCTACATTAGAAATAAATTCCAAGAAATGTTCCACTTGCCTGTGGCACATGTTCACTGTGTGAAGAACGAACGCAAAATCGATTTGTGTGTCGTGTATGGGCGAAAAAAATTCACACAGATCCAACGCACATGTGTGTCGTGTATGGGCCCTATTAACCCAAGAGTACCTTAAAATGTTACTGTCGAAGTTTTTCGGCAGTAAGTAGTTCACATTTCTAAGAAAATTTTTAATAACGCTTTTAAAGTCAGTCCAGGCTCGTATATCAGTTGCATATAGCATTTCCTCAAACATTCACATTTCATTTGTTCTCTTATTTGCGGACCCACAATTATGCCATCTTAAATGTTTTTTTTTTTGCTTCATTGACTCTTGCAAATTTTTGTTTAGATACAGGAACCCTCTTCCCTTTCTGGTCATTGCCTTAACAAAACTCTTCATTAAACCCAATTTAATATGCAAAGGTGGTAGTGATACCTTTTTGGGATCAATAAGAGGTTCACAGGTAATGTTTTTTGTCCCGCAGTGAGTGCCTGACGCACTGGCCACTGCTCAGAGTATTCATGTGAATTTGCTGAATAGCCAGAAGTTACACGATATTAGTTGAAAATGTGCCGAAGTGATCACGAATAACCAATGCAGTATGAGATGGTGCATTATCGCACTTTTTGTACAATAAATTCTGACATTGTAAAAATCGAAGAATTCAATTTTAGAGCCTCACAAAACAATGCGTATGAATATTTTGACGTGAAATTTAGAATAGACGTTAGTAACGGTGCTACCAATTTACATTAAGATACATTAAACTAAAATTTTGTTCACAATAGTATTGTAAAATCTAAAGCCGCAGGTTACAGTATGTCTGTGGGTGATATAAAAATTCTGTTTTCAGATTTGACTTCAGGGTATCAAACTGCATTAGAAATACCTAAGAATTTTCGTGTCACAAGTGTCTACCAGTGTAATCGGCTCAATAGCATAAATCTTGTGATTAGGTGTCGGTCAAAACATAGTATAAAGTAAAAAGGACTAAATATGAACCTGTGAAGTATGGATAAATAAATATAAAGACATGGGTACCGCCACATTCACGAGTGGTTTTTTTGGGAGCCGGCTCCTTCCGGTTGTGTTTCTCATACCCAGATATAGTTTAAGCTTATTTGATATACACTTAATACTATTTTTTTCATAGGATAACCCAATGGAAAAAAACTCAGACATTTCCTTCTCTCGAAAGATTCGTACACAGTTACAATCGGAGATGTCCAACAAAAAGTCTACGCTTTTAGAACGCATCATAAAGGACCTTAATATGCATTATTATTCGCCAGGTAATGCTTCAGAATATTTTCAGGATGATACATTTTTCAAAGGTGGCACCGAATCAGAAAATATATCAGAGGCGGAGGATTTATTCTCTGATGAAGCTACCAAATTTGCATTGCCATCGAGCGTCTCTGCTGTATACAATATTAATGCGGGAAAAAGAATTGATCCTTTTGGGATTAGTGAACAATCTGCGACGAAAATTCAAGGGTGGGATGGACAGAACAACCCGGAAGTAAGTGGATTTTTAAACTTTGTCAACCAACAATTACTTCAACCATCACAGGTTACAAGTGATCCCGTGGGCTTGTATGACTACTTTTATATCTATTAATGAAGCAAGAGGTATGCATTCAGTGAGTAACTAACGCACATCATAGTACATTAGGAACATTAAAATTAATCTCTGTACGGTAAATGAAACCTATTGCACAGCTCACTTGAGTATAAAGGACAACTTGATTACATCAAAAACAATACCTACATAGAAATATAAGTATATTCTACATTCAATCACCAGGAAAATAGCAGTTGATCATCGTTTATATTCGAGGAAGTATACGGACCTGTGAGTAGAAATTTATTGCATACGTTTGATTAGCCAATATTTATTAAGTATAGTGTAACTATTTTTATTGCATTGCATTATACTTTTTAATTATCATTCCGAAGAAGAAAATTTGTGATTCCAGCGATTAGGCTATTGCGTATAGATAAGAGTTTCTTCGATCCAACCAAGCCACAATTTGTATTTTTTCTCTTGGAGTATCTACGCTCTTATCTAAAACACATCTAGCATAACAACACTTAAGGGAAGAGTAAACTTAATTCGTGTAAAATTATGCTTTTTATGAAATAGTTAAAATCTAGTTTTAAAAACCAATCGCACATATTACATATTCTGTTATATTGTTATTCAGAAATGTAAAATTATACGGCTATGACACCCATAATTTAGTGCTGGATCATTTGAAATCAAAAATTAAAATAATATCGTCAGATAATCGTATCGAGGTTATTCGAATTTTAAATTTTTCACTTTTTGGAAACATTTTGAAAAAGAAAACACAATTTTGTGCGATTATTGACGAATTTGAAAAAATACTCCAGTGTGCTCCAAAATTTCAAAACAATCGGTGTAGTAGTTGTGAGATGCACCAACTTGGAGAACATGAGTTGTGATAAAAACGCTTAAACGTTTTGAGAACTGATGTAAAATGTTTTTAGGACAGAAGACAAAAAAATTTAAAATACTCATCTTTTGTTAGATTTTTTGCTCGAGTTTACAGATCAATAAATTGCACCTCAATATAACCAGGAATGTGACTTCATATTTATAGTATTTATTGCATGACCAGTCTTAACTCTTTTTTATTGAGTGGTCTCTTTTGTATTATACCCAAGACGGATAGAATACAAGATTGCGACAAGAATTTACCCATACTTTTCTCTATTTAGGCTGTGACTATTTATTTATTTATTAGTATCTTTATGGCGTAGGCATAGGTTACAATTCAAAATTTAAGTAATCTTACAATCAATTTATGAAAGATGTTTTTTTATTTATATCTAAGGCATATCTAACAGCAATACCAACAAAAAAATTTATTTCATTCGAGAACTCATTGAAACATTTAAAACTTTATAAACCAGATTTTGCACATACTTCGAAGTATTGGAGAAAATTACAGTAATGTATCTCGATTTGTGGCTTGTAGCCCCTTACAGTTTTCTTATAACTGCATTATTAAGGCGTAGCAAACGTCCATTATTATATCCCGCTCATCTCCAATATCAACTAACGTGCACAAAAAGACAGAGACGGGAGTTAATTCATCTCTTCATACTGATCATTTAAATACTCCTATATCTATACATTTAGCTCTACGTCTCCTAGGTGAAAAAAACTATCTAATTAATAGGGTATTTGTTGCAACATGTTGCGAGAGGATGAATATCAATCAATGTGCATGAAATCTTAATGAAATTAATGTCTTAGCATAATTAGTAACATTTTCTAACATATACTATACATACTATAATTTGGTGCCGGAATTTATAATTAGTTGCATGAAATCTTAATGAAATTAATGTCTTAGCATAATTAGTAACATTTTCTAACATATATAGTACATATTATAATTTGGTGTCGGAACTGAATGAAAAAGAAATACATGGGTACATATGTATAACGATTTATGCTTTTCTATTATTCTCCAGTACATCATTATATGTGTTAGGTGTCCTAATAAATTCTTGCGATTATTTTAGTTGAATGTCATAAAGTTATTGAAATCGGAAATACTATATAATACATGTAATGGTTACCTACCCTCTGATTGACTTTTGTTTTTTCTTGCAAACGCCGGCTTAAGTTTCAGCATTAGTGACTTTTACATTTTTACAATAAATTTTTCATCCCCAAAGAAAATAAACCTACCACTTTGAGAAAGTGATATTCTGATATATTATATTTCTATGAATGCTCAGGTTATTTGATGTATAACTTTAACTGCCTATAACTTTTAAAGGAAAATTGTGATGGAAAAGATCACTAGGACTTTTTTCTTCAACGCAATGTCTAAATGTTGAATAATTTATTAGAAACCATTATTGAATGTAGCATCTTCTCGTTCGTTTGTTCGTGACGTAACGCGTCGTAATTATAAAATCTATCATTGTTGGCAATCAAAAACGCGAGGAGGTCTACTAATTATGTAAATTATAAAAATATATTATTTTCAAACTTATCTATGTTGTAAATAAAACTTAATACAATTTTAAAGATTATAATATTATATTTATAGGTGTGATATATCAAATTAACATTTTAAAAAGTAAAGATTATGCCATAGCGCAAAACCTACAAGGATCCTTGGACTTAACCATCACATATGCCTACATATACATATATGTATGTCATTTCAGAGCTCAGAGCTAATGTATACATACATATGACAGAACAAAGGTAATAGAATTGAAAATTTGCAAAGAGTTTACGATGGCAACAACCAATATGATAAGAATGGCCCGTCCTATAACCGTTTCCAGAACGAGCTAGAATCCAATATGATGCGATACATATACACAAAACTTTCATACCTATATATGTATATTAGCTCATTATCAATTAAACCAAAGATAACACTTTTTTATGATTTGGATAACTGCATATCAATCTTTTTCTAGCCACTGTAGGCATATCAGAGTCATCATAATAATACGTATAACACTATAATGTTTAATTAAAATTTTTTTTTTTTGAAATCTTGGCAATATAATAACTTAGGTGTATTTTATCTACGTATATACATACTTACATATTATATATGTAGATGCAGTTTTGCATGAGTGTATTCGAAATAATCACTTCACAGTTATATGGTTAAATATTAATTATTGATTTCGTAGTTTTTCATTGTTTCATCAACGGTTCGGTGATTGGTGATTATCGCATTGACAATACTAGCAACGACAATGTTTAGACGCATGATATAGAACACTACTAAACAAATAAATAACTAAAACTATATATATAAATTAACGTTTATAACCAATTCATTCAATTTGATTGTGAAATGCGACACGAGACAATAATTCAATGTAAATGAGAACAATAAGATAATTCAGCTGTCAATTCTAAATTTAAAAGATAAAGAACATAAGCAGATATGTATATATAAAAGATATTATTATAGATATATTTACTCCTAACGAAAAATATCTGGAGAGAATTTCGATATCATATAAATGTTTTAAAATATATAAATAAATATATATGTAATCATACAATTATGTACTCTGTGCAATTATTTAAATAATTAATTTGACTTATATATATGTATACAGCCTTAGGAAAACATTCGTCATAAATTATGTATACCCGTAAAATTTCTATATATTATGTAAGCAGCTGTTGAATGCAAAATATGTAAAAAAAATCACTGCTAATCAGAACGTTTTTAGGGTAACGGCTAACCACACTTTCACGAAAGTATCAGCGGACTTGGCTATGAAAGTCCTTATCATGCATTCACGGGTATAGGAACACATAAGCAGAAACGAAAGAAGCAACACAAAACCCTGCAATGCTATTGTACTACATAAAAGCTGGCACTATCAACTTGTATAAATTCGACAGTGGAAGAAAATTACTTTATTTCGGCGACCACACTCTTTCGGCATGTTTATTTTGAGCTGTCAAAGGTGAAAAGGAAATAATGGCAGCATCATTTCATATTTATAATATTTTCTCACTACAACGAAGCGTAAACAAATGCCAGCAATTGAAAGAAATAAAAATCAGAACATCTATTTCCCTTTGTAATTGAAAATGGTTGCCTCTCTTCTCGCATGATCTAGTCGTCTTTACTTCGAAATGCCTTTGCCACCACCTTTCGGTACCAGGAATCATTGGCTACGCCGTATTTCTGCTCGCTTTCTTTTCGCGCTCCTCTCTTGTCAAAAAAATTACATGTGAAAACAGCAAAAATATTAACGAATTGAATTTGTCAAGAGAGTATATGAAAACCTCATTAAAATGGTATAACCGCTATCTTTAACGGTACCAAATTTTGCTTTGCATATTTTATGCCAGTTTTTCCTCAAATTACAAATTATTCTCAATAATAGAAATACAAATATATAGTTTTCCTTTGGTGTTTAGAAACTTGAACCTAAATAACACTGTAGAACATTTTTGGGATTATTGTCTGGGGGGTGAGAAATTCCAAGTCAGGGTGATGGTACTAGGTCAGCATAGTAAAACCCTCAAAGGGTTTGGCGTTCGTATGTGTCTTTTACTATACTGACGTAGTACCATCACCCTGACTTGGAATTTCTCACCCCCCAGATTAGCTGTTGTAATGTGTAATAACTAACAATTGTTCATAGAAAACCAATCGGTACGAACCGGAATATAATCGGATTTTGTAGGAATTGTCCAGAAGCACCTCCTGTATAGTGGTTGCAAACGTGCACATGATGCATCCATCAGCCAACCGCTGGGATTTTATCTGCTGTTTCTGGACAATTTCTTGGTAGACTTTCGCCAACCAAGATACCGCTCCATAAGGTTAACCAGTGGTTAAACAACCGTGTACATCCTGGCCAAGCGCTTTTACACCATCTGTGCTTTGGTGGATTACATGTTTGTATAAGTATATAGTAAAGTATAAGGGATCCTTAGAACATGACGAGTTCGTGCATGGTTGTAATCGGACCACTGCCCCGCCCATAAATCTCCAATAACCGGAAACATAAAAAGTGCCATAACTAAGCGCTAAATTAAGATATAGAACTCTAATTTGATTCAGGGGATCGCAGTAGGAACGGGCACTTGTGGGCAAACATTTTTGTACAACAGGTTTAATATACATATATCCTCAACCCCTAAGCTATAATAACCAAATTGGCTGGGCATAAATCTTATAAGAATTCTACCGACTACGTGAAAATTAGACGAAGGGCTTGGCACCGTACACGGTTTGGTGAAATCCCACATCTCGGGACCCGACCAAAGGATTTCTACAAAATTTAGTACATTTTTTTATATTTATATGTCACATTGTGAAAGTGGATGAAATCGGGCAACAACCACGCCTACTTCCCATACAGCACAATTTTAAATCTGTTGTTCAGTTTCCAGTACACAATAATGTCTCTAGTCAAGCCCCTAGGTACCGAATATTTAGATCACGGTACCTACAGTTAATTTTTGATCGAAAATGTAGGGCAAGGTGTGATATCTGTAATTGAAATTAAAGGCTAATTTTTCTTTTATAATGGTTTGTCTGTATGTCAAATGTGGGTTGAATCGGATCAGTACTTCCCTTAGCCCCCATATACCTAATATACAAATTTTCGAACATCCGGCTGACCCTACTCTACATGATTGGTTGGCCTTTAAATATTTCCTTAGCTTTGTATCTTGGAAGTTGCAAGAGTATAAAATGTAATGGGTATATAGAGTATAAAATGTTAGCCCTTACTAGTTTTAAATTCCTGTCATACTTTTAATGGGTTTATTGTTTTAGGATTAATCTCGATTAAAAGTATATACATATGTGACTAGTATCAATATATTTAAAAATATAGTTATGTATTATTTAGATGTCGGTTGTATATCTAAACAGCAAATAATTTTGAAATAACCGTCGACGGCTGGTCCCTCACAATGGGTGGGCATATTTTGTATTAGCCGCTGCCGGTTTATTCGCGTAACTAAAATATATTTAAACTACTTAAAATTTAATTGTTAAGGAAAATTGAGGTTTACCACCTTATGCTTAGCTTTGAGTATGGTTTCAAAAAATGTAAAAAGTATATGGTGAACGACTAGAAATTCTGAGCTTTATTTGTTTAAGTATAAATAACATATATCCATAAATAGTTTATAAACATAATATCAGAGTTGTTAAATATGTATTACCAAATCATAAAGTATTACCTTTAAGCTTATATATTTTCCAAATTTCTTATTTCTTTTACAACTAATTACCATCATTTATACTTAGAATAAAACTGTTATGGTATAATAAGAGTATACCTCCATTACGGTTTACAACTCCACTCAGTGGAATTGATGTTAAAATAATTCGATTTCAGATCTGCTACTTCAACTTTTTCAGTCGAAGTTTCATTGGAGTTGTCAACCCAGAAAATGAAGATTTTATAGATAATTAAACGGCTGAAATGTTGTAAACGAAAAATGAAAACAATTAAATTTTTGTTATTTTCTATGGCTCACGAAAAGGTGAATAATTATTTAAATGGACATTAATTTCTAAACGCTAATGAAGGGAAGTTGAAGGCCTCAAAAATTTAATATTACTCAAAAAGTATATATGTATATTGGGTTTACGGAAAAATCGTAAGAGTCCTTTTTTGTAGAGCATTCAATTTCCTACAAAATCTAAGGAACAAACTATTTTTTGAAGTGGTTGGAAGCAAGATGTAAATTTTTCTATCTGATAATAAGAAAAAAATAGAAAATTGTAAGTAGGAGGACCTTCCCGTTACAATTAAGAACTCATTCTTGGAGAGGCTTAATTAAAGGTGTCTAGGAACCTATCTTTCGGCGCACCAAACGAAAAAAATTTTTTTTTTTGAATCACCCTATTGTATACTCCTATGACCGAAACATTTTACACGGTCGCTAATTTTATTTTCAGTTTGTTTGTTCTATGTAATTATACAAAATAATTTATTCTGAATCAGCGCAGTCATGTTCAACTACAACTGCCTGGTAGCGGTTATAATTTATTAATATTGTAGTCAATACACAGAGTTGAAAAACGCAATACCACAAAAAAATTTAAGTTTGACAACACTTTTTTTGACCGTTTTGTTATCGTTGAGACCTAATTTTGAAACTGCAACCGAAATGCAGATCAGTTGTACACCGTAATTGAGTCTTTACATTTATTTAATTTGTGTGTTTTCTGAAATGTTTGTGGCACTCGTAATATAGACATTTCTTTATAAAAAATTATGAAGGGGATATAATTAAATGACTTTCTAGTAAATTTCAGTTATTCTTAATTATTTTTGATATTTTTCAATCAGTATTAGGCTACTAAATCTAATAGAAATTTAGAAACCTATATATATCCATATCAAAATTATATATCGTGTATACATATGCAGTATGTACACAAAGGCAGCTAATGAGCGATATACACAATACTAACTAGTCTTTATTAATTATTGCTAAATACGTACAATGAAATGATATATACATATGTGAAAATGCTTAAAACGCTATTATATCATAAATAACAGATCTAGATACATAACATAAGATGCATAAGAATTTATTGTCGATTATTTCAACGGTACCGCTATGCAAATGGCTACAAGAAACTACTTCTGCACTTATGATCAAACATAATTTGTGCTCATAGTTTTCTACGTAAATACATATGTACATAATTATATGACATGGTAGACAAAATACGCAATTTGTACAAAAGGACTACTGCAAATAATAGGTTGTGCTTCACGTATATTTCTACTTATAAAAAAATACTATTATACAAATGTAATTGAAAAAATCAAAGTTGAATTAAGTATTTTCCATGGAAAAATGTAAAAAATAAGCAAATAATGTTTGTATGGTTTTACAACAGTAATTTATATGCAACATTCGTATTAATATTCTCATTTTGCATCGGGTCATCTTGCAGCAATTTAAAAGTGGGAATACCGCACAGTCATTTATGCTTTTTGAGCTTCAAAGACGTTTCTATATTTATTTCCACGACTGTTATTCCTAAAAGATTTGTTTTGCATGCCTGAGTACGATTAATTGACAATACTAAATGTGAAAGCCAGGATTAATTTATGTTTTTATTTATTTAACGAATTATATATTGAATTATTAACAACATGGTAATAAATATGAGAGTAATCTTAATATGGACTCAAGTTACTTCTTTTCTAACTGTACAGTTACATACCTAAATAATTGCTTTTAAATTAATCACGCAACTAAAAGAGCAAACACCTTCTTTGATTTGATTGCTGCAACAATTTCCAAATAAAATTTCTTTTTAAAGTGCCATATACGACTTACGACACTAATTTTCTTTGTAATTTTAATTTGCAAGCAAAGCTTAAAGTACTAAAATTTCTTATAAATGATATAATTGAAATAGTCAGAATTAATATTGTATTTACTACATACCTATTAAACCCAAAATT